CTGATTGCTGTAAAATTTTATTTGTGGGTTGGGAATATCGTGTAGACTGTAAATTGTAAAACGCTAGTCAAAATTTATCTAACCGTCACTGCGAACAATGTGATGACGTCCTCTCAAAATACATCATAGTAAATATGATTTAATGTTACTCTTGTACATATGGTTTATGAATGCGCCTATAGTTTTATCACAATTATTTTACAATTTTTTTGTGCAATATTTGCCAAGCGTATCACGTGTTGAACTTGGGCCCTATTCCTGTGGGTTCAAATCTCATCCTTGTCGACATTCTTTTTCTAACTCACTGAATTTGTTTGAATATTTGGCTTTAGGTGCGAAGGAAGTCTTATCTAAATAATTTTAGACCAATTTTTTTTTTATTTGGGTGAATGGTTTCCCACATTTCATTTCCAACCAAACCAAAATTTGTCGATACATCTTCACCAAATTTTAACCACATCACCTCAAAAGTTTCCTAAATTTATTTAAAATGTGCAGAATATGGTACCCGTATTTTTTGTAAACACTTCTTGTAAGAGACATCTGTCTGAGAAAAATATTTTGACATGCCCTTGATAACGTTTCTGAAAGCAAGGAAAGTACGTTCTAAACTTAAGATTTTTTCTTATACAATTAAGTACTTCTAATTAATTATTTTGCATACTGTAAGAGTATATGTAATTGTATCAAATTTTGAGTTTCACTTTAAATTTCTCTAATTCAAAAGTATAGTCTTGCAAATTCAGTACCGGTTTTATAGTCTGTTAAAGTGGGACCTCAGGCCGAGACTATTATAAACCCTAACAATGCGTGATTAGGATAATACTACAAAATAATTATGAAAAAGATATTTATGAGTCGGTAGTGTCGGTAGGTTTGCACAGGTCGGTATTAAGTCCCGAGTTACCTATCTACCTCTACCAAATTTGCTGGTATATAAAAGCGTCTTGGTTAATATGCATTAATAAAATGTTTTTTGGGGGAACAAACAGATCGATTTTGATTAACACTTTACCATGGTTACAATAACTTTAAAACGTCTGCAAGATTTCAAAGTGATCAGTTTTGCAATTCTTGATTTATTCAATAAAATAAATTGACTGATTCATTAATTTTTTTGAGTGACCCTGTATAAGCAAATCTAAAAAATGAGGTTCTTAATTTGATCAATAAAAAATTGGTCGAAGCCTGTAAGTATAATCCGACAAATTCAGCTCTTTAAAAAATTATAAAATTTGATTTTACGATTTTCGTTTTGTGATAAGATAACCGCTGTAAAGTAAAAACCGGAGGCATAAATAACACCCCTTGTCCTTCAGCAGTAGGTAATAGCAATCTGAAGCTCAAGTGTTTATTTATGTTTATACATCGAAAGAATGTCACGTAGAAATTAGTTTGATTTGAATGAGTTTGTCTTCTCAAAACAGGACTAAAATTATTAATTAATCCACAATCGAACAAAATGTTCTGAATATTCTAATTCTTATATTATCATTATTATATAAAGATGTGCGTATTCTTCACATTTTTGATCAATAAAAAATTTGTTATGTTATGTTATGTTATAAAAGAAGAGTAGTCACAGCGTTATATCAATGCAAGAAAAAAAAAGGAAAAGAAAAAAAAGTTCGGCATCGAACCTCAATTGCTCGACCTGCGGTACGCTCACCATTATCTCTGATACACCCACTGTGCCACGGAGACGTTGAAACCGTGCCGGGAATAAAACGTTATTATACCTTGCAAATATTTTTGCGAAAATTTGAACGTTTAGCGAAAAAACTGAAAGTGGATTCATACACTACAATTATATGAGTATATTTTTGTGCAACATTCAAATCATTTTAGAATACCATGATCTCATCAAATTATTGGGGAGGAGGACTAGCCAAATTTTGGTTAGCATTTAACCATCTACATGATATTTCCAATATACACAAAAAAATTGACAACAATCTGATCCAGCAGTTTCGGAGATTACGTGTTTAATAAAAATGGATACAGACAGACAGAAACGGGAAAAGTGGCCATTCGTCCGATGGATTCAATTACAATTTAAAAATGATTTATTAATCAACAACAGAATTCTGCTACAATAATAGGATAATTTTAACAAAATTTTGTCACATTTTCTTTAAATATTTGGTATAAAAGGTTATTTAACCCCAGTTTTTCAGTTGTGGCTGTTTTTAGAACTGTGCCCGAAAAAAAATATATTTGTTGAATCGACTTGATAACGGAGTACGGCTCTGAACGGGTGCCGACGCAGGTATTGAGAAACGAATTTACCGAGAAATAAATAAATCTTTTTCTCGAAAAATTTAACACTTCATAATTATTTTATCAGATCATAAAACAGACCATAAAACCGGTACAGAATTTGCAAGCTATACAACCTTTAGAAAAATGTAACTTTTACCATTGCTATCGAAATTTTTATGGATTGTTAAAATTTTGGACTGGACTGGCTAATAGCATTCAATTTGGTAATTTAATGGAATTGGAAATCTTATTCTTATGAGATTGAGTCTAATCCTGTTTCTATAAGCAAGTGAATAAATATGTCTGTACCATTGTGCTGAGGTAAAGATTAGGCGTTTCTATATACCGGATGGTGAACTTAGTTCAAATCAGTCGAATATCTACTGTGCCGGAAAAATGTCGCCATTTTTTGCAGTTTTTCCTTGCGGTTTACATTATCTACCATCATTACAATCTTTTTTAGATGAAGATTAGATGTGGCATTAAAAGGTGTTTTTTTTAACCAACATCATCCACAATCAATCCACATCAACCACAATCATTCATGCATTTTAACAATCACTGAAATGTAAATTCTAGATTGACATTCTTTAAAAAAAAATAAAAAAAAATGAAAAGATATATATTAGTCGAACTCAGGAATCCGATTTAGACGAAAAAATTGGGTTACGCATCCTAGTTAATCCAGTTGAAAGCTTCCGAGATCATTATCGGGTGATTATTTACATCCTGGTGTCAAGTGGCAGAAAACAAAGGGAAATGTCGCACATTGTTACTTCTGGCATTACATCACATCTATCACGCTAAATTGTCATGAACGTCAAAACAAAAGCGTTGCAATGAAAATAAGGTATGACACTACGCTCTCAACGTTCGATTGGTATGACTGTAAACCGTGGTGGTAACGTCTCATTTACAGCCGTAACAAACCATGTAACCCCCGTGATAACTGTTAATCCAGATTTCAATGATACAGTATCATTTTTATAACTCATGTTTTATTGTCTCCATCATCGCGCATTCTCCGAAGGCTCAAATCATTTTCGACAATGCTTCTGGTCAACGATCTCAAAACTTGGGAAAAACCTCAACGGAGCAAATTTAAGCTATTGTTTTAAAAGATTCAAGCTTGTGCAATAAGAAAATATCTAATTCTTTGGATCCACTTATTTTGTTCGAGTCGATTACAATTACAATTGAAATTGATGGTTAGTTTGGAGGTTTTGAGTTGTCAAAAATTCGCGTCGGTCAAGAATTTGTAGGTTGCCTCCGATTGGTCAGTTCAAAGTGTTTTGCCTAAATTGAATTTCGGCTTGGGTCGCTTCGATGTTTCATCGATGGCGATACCGCTACGTTTTTATTTTCAAATTCAGAATTGATATATGGCCCGGATTGATTCATTGGAATCGTTTATTTCGAACATTAGCTAAAACGCGCCCGTTTCAAATTAATGTTCCTTTTGCGGTCCTCACCAACCACAAAGGGAATTCATTTCACTCCGAGGAATTATTATGAAACTCATTAGCACCGAGCAAAACGGTGTCGGAATGGAATTATTGTAAGTGTGAAGTGGAAAAATGGAGATAGTTTGTTAATTTAATTACCCTGAAACTCTTTTATTATGCTAAATACGAATTTTAGTTGGTTCGTTATGATGGAGACCGTAATGAGATAATGGATGTTTAGTGGCCTGCCAGACCCTTCCGACCGAGGTAATTTGGTATACGTAATTTGAGTATCAAACGTCGGAGTGAATGTTTTGTTAATTAGGCGAATGCTAAAAAGTTTTCTCAAAATTTCTCGCCACAGACGGAACTGGGAGTCGATAATCATATTTTTATAGCTTGTTGACATTTTTTGTGGACTGTAGCTGATATTTACGTAGGCACTTGTATTAATTCGCAGAAAATTAATATTTTAAATTAGTTACGTTACGTAGGTACGATTGACGTAACCAGCAACTGCTTATTATCTCAAGAATTTCAAGTGCATGTGATTTAAACCGAATTTTAACAATGCCAACAATGATCGTATTGTTTTACAATTTGTTTACAATATGTGTATTTTTAATATTTTTCAACTAATTCGTAGAGTGATCGTGTCAGGATGATCGTGAAGATCGCCCAGTAATTTTATATTGTGACTGCTAAATACCATGACGATAAAACTAATGGGGTAGTTTAGTGTGGGCTGTTTATGGGGCAGTGCCGACGTCAGCTACTAATAGGTTTAATACAGAATTGCTTTTTAATAGAGACGTCAGAAAGATCTAATTTTATATAGCCTCCATTTATCTTGCTTAGTCATTATGAAATTTAGCTAAACGCCTTAGAGGTCCGACGAATTTTATTCCTTTTTGAATTTAACGCGGAGCTCTGATGAAATGCATCTCTCGAGAGCAGCAAATTTTTCGTTGTTTGTGCCGAAGGGGGTGACGAAGCGTTAATCGCTAGACGATCTTCAAATTAATTAAATTTGGAATTCGTGAATTGCTGCATTAATGTGTCTCTCGAAGCATGCAATTTGAATATATAAGTGTCACTTCTTGGATAATTTGCGAAATATAGTCGGTTGCTTGCATTTACCATTCAGATGTAAAGTGAGATAGAGGCAGGGAGAAGCGCGAACATTTTGATCCCCCGCTGTGACTGATAATGCCGCGGAAGGGTTTTTGTTTGTCCACAAACGCTGTAAGGCCGTAGAAACCATGCTGATCGTGTTTCTGTATTTTATTTCAGGTTTTTCGAAGCCGTGGACCAACTGCGTAGAACGCTGGACCACGACTCAGGTACTATTTTTTTTATTGAACACGATGATTAAATAGCAACCACTTGTTATCGTCGGGGATTTATGAAAGATTTAAGTTACCGACGTTTCGATATTTATTTTATTTTTCTATTTCAAACGTATCTTTTTCGTCTGCTTACAAACTGCAAAAAATCAAGTATACAGTTTAATGAATTTTTTTGTGTTTTTATTCAGAGCGAATAAGCTCTTTTTACCAGAACTATTTTTTTACATTAGTCGAAAGAAATACAGTCGAAACACGATACATAAATTATTTCGCCTATAATTTCCAAAATTCGATTTTTTTTTCTAAACGCATGGAAGATGTTTAAAAAGAATTGGAATAGATTTGAGGCTATTATTACTAGGTATAGTACTAGGTATAAACTTATACTAAAGTGGTAGCAGTTACTAAATTACTTACATTACTTTAAAAAACTTTAAAATTCCAGTTTTAAATGCACATATTTCGTTTCGTTTTCAAAGTGTACTAAATGTATTAAATTTATATTATCTTACCCTCATGCTGATAACGAGAGACAGTCATGAATTTTTGAAGATTTGTCTTTGATCGTTGCATTTTCAACCCAAACTTTCAAATCTCACAAGAAGAAAAATTCTATCCAAATTTCATGGATGTCTTTGATCGTTTTTTTTTTGCTCTTTCGATATAAATGATGTATGAAGAATGATTCTAGTTCAAGTGTTGTACCACTACTTTAAAAGTTGTAAATACTTAAAAGGGCAGTCTGTTGATCTTGTTTATTATAACAAGTTCAAGCAAGACTGGCCTTTTAAGTATTATTACAATTTTAAGAATAATAAAAAATTAGTCGACGTTTATTTCCATAGAACTTCTTTCGCCCCTGAAGTGCAAGTACAACAAATCCCATTCTTTGAAAAATTATAAAATTAAATTTTGCAATCCCAAATTGCAAGGGACAAATAACTAACGAGAAACAATGGTCTCTCAGCAATAATAACAAATTTTAACTTGAATGTCACGTAAAATTTTGTTTGGTTTGAATGAGTTTGTCGCCTCAAAACAGAGGACAAAAATTACTAATTAAGCACAGTCAAACCGAATGTTTTGAATATTGTTATTTCAATTCTTATTAAGTAAAGACGTGCGTATTTTCACTTTTTCAAGAAAATGGGATTACTCCTCCTTAATTTGTTCAATACAAAATTTGTTATGACGTCATAAACATAAATAATACACAGCGCGAGAGAAAAGGAGAAAAAAACAAACAGGCAAGTTTTGTATCGAACGTGCGACCGCCCGTCCGCATGCTGATCTCTAAACGGCATGGTCACGGACGGATAGATTCTGAGTTAGACTTAAAGTGTTATTATACTGTGTTAATTTTTTAGTGAACATTTGGCCGTGTAGGGAAAAAACTCAAAGCGGATTCGTACACCACAAGTTTAGGAGTATATTATTGCTACGAAATAAACCCATACGCCGCCCAGTACGACGCCTATGGGTCTTCTAGTATGTATGCGTTTCTTCTCGTATGTAGTATGACTCATCGGCCGCGCGATGCGGCATTCATTAAAGGAACACCTGCAAGCGGATGTCGCGACGGGCCCAGAAAAGTCTCGAAGCGGCGCTTGACATGCCGGGAAGCGGAAGTCGCGAATATCCAATTCGAGAAAGAACTCGATCGCCGAAATATGGATTTAAATAGAGGCCACCGTCGGGAATGATTATTCAGTTAAGACGCCGAGTCCAGCGAGTGAGCGAATTCATCCAAATGAACCACGAAGTTATTCTGTACATAATCGCTACAATAATCGTGTAATTCGAATTATTAAGAAATAAATTGTTGAGTTTAATCCACGCCGATTTTATTCGCCCGCTCAACGTAACATTATTGCATAACATTCAAATCATTTAAAAAAGAATTCTTTGAAATGACGCCACAAATTGTTGGCGGAGATGATTAACCAAATTTTGGGTAACGTTTTACCATCTACATGATATTCCTAATACACATACAAAATTTGACAACAATCGGTCCAAATAAAATATATATCTTAAAAAAAACACAAATGTTTACAAAATGGCACCAGAACTACTTCTTTACGTCTCACAAAGTATCTTAAACAGTTTTCATGTTTGATACCATATGATTAAATGATGGTATCTAACCAGACGTGGAATTAATAAAAAAAACTATTTTGGCAAAATTATTCCATGCCTCGCATTCTTGTTTGACTCCATTTCGGCAACAACTTTGGATAATCAAAATTGGATGTTCTGTTTGAAGCATTTTTACTATAGGGCGTAAGCTAAGGAAGGACATATTGTAATAGGACCCATCCGGCAATTGGCTACTTTTTTGTTTTTTCCACGTTTCATGACCACTAGTGCACGAAAAAGTAGGTCTCTAACTAACTAAAATTTGTTTTATCATCATCACCAATAACTTGATGTCCTCATCTCCAAGTTTGGCTTAGTAAATGCTATTTAACCTTTATAAAATATCATACTTCTGTGCTTGTGGTGAATGAATCCGTTTTGAGTTTTTAACCTAGGCATTCAGGTTTTCCCTAAAAAAATACAAATTACATGATCATATTTTATAACAGTATACATGATGCGAAGAACGCGGAGCTCGAAACTTTTTTTCTAACACACTGGCTGATATTACCTATATTTTTAGTTTCCGAGAGTACGCGAAGGAAGTATTGTAATAGGGTACATTACAGGTATTGCACTTAAAGATGTTAAATTATTTTGCATGGAAAAACTTTTTGAAAAGTTAGAAATATTTGACTAATTCTACTCAATTTGTACATAATTTATAGAAAATTTGACTGATCAAGTATGTAAAGAAACGAGTTCTAAATATGTGAGTTTCTAACACTGGTTAACAAAAAATGACAAGTTTATTTAATTTTAGTAGAATTATATTAATAGATCTAGGATTAAATACTTATCTACGAAAAAAACAAAAAATTGATTAATTAAAAAATGATAACGTCATTTCAGAGTCGTGATAATCTAATTACTGGAAAATAACTTTCAGATTTATCCTGAAGGAGAACTTATGCGTAGACTTTTGGTGTGACCGATTTTTAAGAACATTCTGAACGTGATCCTTAACTAATCTTTGTCAACAATATATATTCGCAATATTTATGTACAGATTAACTTATTTTATGTCAAATTTAGCAATTTATCTTTAAATATCATCTTTCTTACGTATACGAGTACCACATATACAAATTTTTAAGGTACACATGACTAAACTAGCCTAGTGCCCGCCTAGTTCAAATGAAAACAAAATCTTAGTTCTTAAAATTTTTAAAAATCTCATTAAAATTGCCTTTTCTATTATTTGCAAAAAAAAAGTAGCAGTGGGGAACGTAAATTTTATTTTTAATAGAGAGCCAACAGTCTTGTGTTGTCTACCGAGCTCTCCTTCCTCGGTATTGGTTGATGCTTAACCAAGCATCCGTGAGTGAAACCATTTAATGGTTCATGTCATTATAGTTTCATAACAGCTTCGGCGATGGTAAGCGCCGGGTTCGCCGCACAACGTGCTTTTACTCGATTCTTTTCCTGTTATTAAGTTCCAATATCGGTAATAGTCCGATATTAGCGTTTATCACGATTAACAATTACGGCAAATTGCACATTTTGCAACCCTAAACAATTTATACAAAGCAACCAGTCGTTCATTTTTCACGGTGAATTGAAGGATATCAGCTTTAGTTGTTTCGTCGGTACTTGCTCGTGTTGGAACCACGTCCGTCATCAGTATATTGAGGTTTTGCCTGGGTTCCGACTGCCACGATCGGGTAGATAAGATCATATCCAATATTTCAAGCCATGCCGAGCTCCAACATAAATAATCACCACAAGTGCATGAGTTTCAAAGAATTTTAATTCATTGTCTGTTTGCTGGTAGTCACTTCTGGATACATAAAAAGCTTCCAAGGTAGCTGTTCATCGAGCGGCATCCGAAACGCTGTCTATACATTTTTCAAATTTTAACTACGTTTCATTTGGAGTCGATGCTAAGAATTCACGTAGGCGGACTGGACACTTACTTATCTTTCTACTCTCTAATTATCTAAGAGCTTTATCAAGTTTAGTGTTTCTTTAGCGTTCGGTACATTGTGTGTGTGTGCATAGCGCATTCTTATATGTACACCGATGGATGTTTTAATCCTTCAGCATTCAACAGCTGATTATGAAAGGGCAACGATCCACCATTTAATAGATCGTTATACGAATGCAATACTTGGAGATTATCTTCTGGCATTACACCAGATGACGGTGTCGAGTACTTGCATTTCTTTCACTGGAGGTTCTGGAGTGTTGGCCTTCTCGATTGAGGCTCTTATTACAGAGACCCAGCTTTGAAATTGTAAAGCTTAAGACGAGAGTGAATGTACACGACAATTCTAAGAAGGCACACTTACATGGTGCTGTATTATACGATAGAAATGCGAAACTAAATTAATTGGCTTTACGACATTAACTAACAATGAACTTGTTGCAATCGAGTCTGCTGTATAAGTATAATTATACAGCTTTCAGGTACTCTTATTGCTGTGGAAATTCATATTTTGAGTTGTAAAATTAGATATTGGTTAAAGTTTAACGCCTCGATAGGTACTAATAGTACTGTGTAGACACAGAGAGTTATTTTGTATTCACTAAAATTTTATATAGCCCTGTGAAGTTAAAGACAGCAATAACTGTGTAAACAAAAACAATTGGTCTCCAGTTTCGTCTGTCTGTCTGTCTGTCTGCTTGTATGTGATGGAGTATGTATTTTCTAAAAAATATATGTATATAGGCTCTCATTTAATATTTTACACTATTACTGGTATTACCTATATTTTTTTATGTAGGTATGTCTAGAGGTTTATCGCAAATTAAAGTTCACAAAACCGAATTTTATAAAGAAAATTTCAATACTTATACAGCTTAGTTTTCCGCTTTTATTAAATACAGTAATGATCGCTTATAGCGAATCCGGTTAAAGCGAATTTCCTGATATAACGAACCATCTGGCAAAGTACGAACTGAAGTACCATAAGATACGTGTTATTTTTTCCCGGTGATAACGAACCCGCTTATAGCGAACTTTCGGATAAAACGAACCAAATTTTTATTATTTAAGAAAAAATCGTTTATAACGAACTTTTTCACCAGTCAGCTTTATCTGCACTACAAAATTACAGCCTATGTATCAGGGTATAATAGATAGCCTTTAAAAAATTTATCGACGACTTCTTCTTTCGAAAATGTTTGATTCTATCGACAACGGTCAGGAACACTTTTATGTGAAACTATTAGATGCCGTCAATTTTATCAGTATGGCATGGTGAAAAGTATCAGAACAAATAATTGCTGATTGTTTTCGACGTGCTGGATTTTTCCAGTGTGAGGAAAAATTTGTACCAGAAGACGAACTATACTATTTGCTGACAATGAATTTGATATCGATTTCGAAGAATACGTCCATTTTGACGACATTTTAGTGAAGTCTGAAATTTTGGATCATGCTGCTATTGTAGAATCAATTTAATGCAACATTCAAACACAAGATGAGACAGAAGACGATGAAGATAACGAAGAAGAAGAAAAAGGGGAAACGATCTGAAAACCCTCCGCGAAAGACTCCACGCGGTATATTAAAAAAATTAAGCGAAATAGAATTGTATATCAATGAAATTAATCTTTCTCACAAGAAGCAACATAAAATTTGAGATTATTTTAAGTAACAAGTTTTATTTTGAATCAACATTTTATTAATCAAGTTTTTTTTTCTTATATGTTACTACTTTATTATTATCTTTAATCTTTACATGTTTATATTGTTGTAATACTTTTAAATGTTGTATACTGAAATACATAGTTCAGTTTATGCAAGTATGTATTGATTTTTTTTGAGATCATTTATGACGAACTTCGGATATAACGAACTACTTTTAGCAGTCCCATGAGGTTCGTTATAACCGAACATTACTGTATATAAAAATGTAAACAATTTCAAAATTCTTACTAATATACCAGGTGTCTGGAAAATGGCGAAGTAACTCTTCAGTACGTTATGTACGGGAGTTTCGGCTGTCCAAAAAAAATTATAAAAACATTCTTTATGATGTACATTTTTTAGAACAATAACCAGTAGACATTAATCGTTGTGTGTTATTATTAATAAAACAAGCTGTTATTTTTCATTAATAAATGAACCAAAAAAAAACATTTAATAACACATTTATAAATTATAAACAAAAACAAAACTAACAAAAGAAAAATCCATTAAAGCATAACCAACTAAACACTAGAGAAGATGTTCAAAATTCCTGCCTTGTGCATATAAGTAAACTCGTAATGTCTGCAAATTTTGATAATTTTTTGTATAAGTTTGTTAAGTTGCTAAGATAAGATTGATTTTGGCAAATGACATACCCTCTAAGAAAAAAAGGTACTTTCAGATTCTTTCCAAACAGGAATACCTAGAACCTCAAGGTTGTTTTAAATTTTTCAAAAAAACGGGGTCCCAAAATTAACTCAAAAACAGGCCAGGTCAGGATTTTCCAAAAATAGAACACCAAAGTCCCCCAAAATTGTTTTCAATAATTTACAGAAAAAATCTCCAGGGGCTTCCAAAATAATACATCACGGATACCCAAACACTACGCCACTCAAGACTTTTTCAAATTCGTAAAATGTAAAACACTAAAAGCTCAAAAGACTTTTTTCAAGTTCATCCAGCAACAAAAACCAGATTGCTTTAAATTTATCCGAAAATGAAACACCACGGGACCTAAAATTACTTTCTTCAAATTTAGTTTAATTTTACGGACATACTGTATATTAACGAACTAGCGGAACGATAACATTTATCAACGATTTATAAATTTTATGGCCTGACAAGCAAAAAAAGATACGTTCAATTAACTAAATAGAGAAATTTTTACCTTGCGTCATCTAGATTATTTTTTGTTAACAACAGACAGCCGAGCCTCCAGCGACGTATTTTGAACTATTTTTGGCAACTTCCGGTAATCCTTTTTTAATGGAAAGGATTATTTTTCTTAAGTCATATAAGAACACGATATTACGTTTAATGGGTTCAAAGTTCACAGATGTTTTTTATAGTTTCTGTCCCTACTTTTTTTTGTTGTCGTGAATTTTAAATACAGTGCGGGAAATTTATGTACTACACTTAAGACATTGATAAAGTTCACTAATATTTTCCACTAATTATATTTTTTTTAATGAAATTATCCTTTTTTTGATAATTTTAACGTCAAAATGTGAGTATTAGTTTTTAAAGTTACGTTTGCAAAACTTGTGAACTTAGATACAACTTAGATAGATACAAACGTTTACACTGGTAATGACCAATCTCAGGTGATCGGAGGTAGTGTGGAAATACTATGAGAAGAACAAAACAAAATGTCGAGTCATCACAATCGGTCACTTAGGCTTTGACAAGTGACGCATATTTGCTTTTTGAAGATGGGAAACTTTAGTTTTAAAAAAAACATCAATAAAGTACGAAAAAGACGAAATAAAACAATGTAAGATTAAACCAACAAAGAATTAATGAAAACCAGAATGGCACCGTATTTGTGTGTTCTTCTCAAAGTATTTCCACTCTATGTATTCACACATTTTTTGCTGTACTAAAAACTTGATCAAATATGTATTTACGTACCTATTTTTAAAGTACATCTATATACTTATTTAACAACTATATGAACTTAGTCGCTGTAATAACCGACACGTGCCAGAATTGTCCATTGTACCAGAACCATAAAATTGTAAATTATGTTTTTGTAAAAAATCTTACAAAATAACTTGTGTTTTAATTTGGCAAGCCGCTGTAGCATGTTTTTCACACTTTTGTTGCGTAGGTACGATCACTGCCTAGAAGCAGTGATTTAAGGAAGTTCGAAAGACATGCTATAATTGGGCGTGCCTGTACCCGACTAAGAAAGATGGATGGGAAAGCATAATACGTCTGTTTGGTCTTTCAATAATTATTCATTGACTTTATTCTTTTTCTTTGAATTATGATCTGTTTAAAATCGATCCTTTGATGGAAGCTCGTGTGCTACTTTTCGTATCAGATTGAAGTGTGCGCATTATGTGTTCCGTCTAATGTTCCTTATGTCGAAATATTTACTCGTGGATTATATTTATCGAATTATATCAGTAATAATTTTTTAAATGTGTACCATGTAAATATAAATACTGTGACAAATTGAAAGGTAACAAAGGAAGTACTTAAGTAGTTTAAACTTACTTTAGGAATGTTTGAACCAATCATTGTGGTGCCTGCTTTTGTATGTAGAAATGATTTTGGACTCGTTCGAATAAGTGGTTTGCATAACATGGAAAGCAGTCTTAAAATTGTAGAACGTACCGAGTGTTACGTAAATGCAAAGATGATTTAGGATTATAACTTTAAAAGTAGCTCGTAAAACTTGATATGGTCATTTTGATGATTATCAATCATACCGTAACCAGATTAAACCACTATTGAGCCGACTTCAAGTAGTTTTAGTTCTAAGGTTTTATTAATCGTCTTTATTAGGTATACAGAAGTATTTTGGGAATGAATATACAGATAAGAAAGATTATTTTGTTTTGCTAAACTATGTTTTTTCGAGTAGCTAGACTCATCGACTTAGTGATTTGTTAAATCATGATTTAAAAATTAGAGCAGATCTGAAATGTGATTCAGTGTTAAATTTCGTGAGTTCAGTGTTACGAGGAAATGTACTTAAAAGTGTGAACAGATGTATCTTCTAAGATTTACAACTTAAATCTCTTAATCACCACACAATACCCAAACGACAATTTGAAACTATTTATTGCACAACATATTTCATGTACCCGTTATCAGCATAATCGATTATAATTTAACACAGGGATTTTCCTTGATTTTTTAAACACGTTGACTTGTCTGTGAGATCAAAATTTTTGATGTATCTGAGCACGGCCTTTACCCACATTTTTTCCTCTCGATCGTGAAGCCATTATTAATTTATTATGTAGATAGTAACGTTATTTATTATGTTGTACAATAGAAATACGGTAGAGGCGTAATCAATCAAGTAAATTTTGATTTTAAGCAGCCAAAAACAACATTCATCGTCATGTAGACCTAACGGTAAAGTACAACAGTAAAGGTAATAAATGCACCAGTAACTGACAGTTAAACAGGCACCCCTCTGTGCTATCAAAGATCAGGTTCGATATCGAAGCAATCGTTTGTCGGCAAGTTTTGAAGGACCACTTTGGGGGTCCCACATGTCAAACTTAATTTGTACGCATCACACTTTGGTATTGTTTTAATCCGGAAAAATTAATTGATACTCCAGGAGCAGATCGCGCTGAACGATATGGTGAAAATGGGTCGCAATGTGGGGTGGGGTACGCTATTGTAACTTTTTTTTTTGGAATGACGATAACCAAGTCTTGTATTGACAATGTCGTAATATTTATTTGACTATTGGCCAGTTTATTGAGTTTTGTTTGCAGATGCACTCATCGGAGTTCATTGTACCCACGGGTTGAACCGAACGGGCTATTTAATCTGTAAATACATGGTGTTACGGATGAAAATTGATCCCCAGGAGGCGATAAAGAGTAAGTATATTTCGCTTTCTTGTAAAATGTGTTATTAAAAATTTGATACAGATTACGGAGGCATCGAAACGAAATTTCTCTCACATTATTAATCGTGTAAATGCGGTCGTGCTGAGCTGCCGACGTAATTAATACTGCCATTTATCAATAACACTTAATTTATGTTTCTAACGTGAGAAATGATTCGTTTTGCAATCACCTAGCACGTCAGATTTCTTTTTGATTGATACCTTTCCATCTTAAGGGATACTTTTATTATCTTGTTCCTACAGCGCTATTCTGAATGGAGATTTTGACTTACATAAAGCTGCATTCGAGGCAAAATGGACTAGAACAGCCGACCATTAAATTTGATTTATGTCCTGGCTGATTTTTTATTAATTTCAGATAATCTGTTTTATCTTTTATAATCGCCGCAACCAGTAAAGACAAAATCAACACCTTTGATAAGGTCAAAATATTCTTTGAACGGACTAATCAAAACAGAGTTTTCTGTAAATGTTAAACATCACATCGGCCGTTGGCCTGTAGCGGCTGCAGCCGATTTTGCTAATGGTATGATCTAGATGCAATTCTGAATGGTTTTTCCGGAAAGACGTACGGCATTAGAGTGTGTCAGTCGAGCAGACGCCTTATTGAGGACGTTTCCGATTTTATTGAAAATATAACTGAAGGTTAACTTATAATATGTATTGGTGATAAGAGATAATTTTGTTGTAGAATGTACCGCTGACGTAATTACAGTTCGCAGAAGAATGAAATAAAAATATTAAATATAAGATTACATTTATTATATACTTGCCCGCCTGTATTTTTGACAGTTTTGATATATAAATATTATAGTACAAAAATGCTGTCTTTTTGCTCACCCATCAAGTATTTCCACCAAATCAGCTACAAATATTTTATCTTTTCAACCTTATTACTTTCATCCTTGATTTTACACTCTTAGGGGATGAAGATTGAAACATTATAAAATTTGTGCTTGATTATTTGTACAAGATGAGTCACTAACCACGCGGTGCTCGATATGTCATTAATTATTATCAAGGATATAACAAAGACCAAAGTTATATGGTTCGTTAAGGCCTATACTCAAAAATTCTTTTTAACTATACGGAGTGTTCTACTTTTAAGGTTTTTTTTTAACGAAACAATCTGTATATTTTGATATTCTCATTAGCCTCTCTACCTAGGCTTTATAACTTTTGAAATTCCGATGCGACGTTGCCACGTAATTCCTATTTTCTCGAAATTTTTTGCCAGTGGGAGGGTTCATGAAAGAATCGCAATATAGTTACACAATTAAATGTGAAGATTTGATTGCTATGATTGGACTAAGAACACCTACTATGAATGTAAGAAATTACTTCTTATTTGAGCAAAAATTTCCTAGATCTAACGTGATGAAAGCGTCCCCGTTTTATCAAATGCTAGAAAGCTATAAAAAATCTCAATGTAACATTGATATATTTAATTGCAAACTGAGAGAGCTAAAAACAGGAATTAAGAAATAAAAGAAATTTGCGAAATAACTGATCCGCACTAATTGTTGTATTTTGTTCTAGAATATTTTTGGTATGATTCATCTTTTTATTTAATCTCTTTTTTTAGATATATTCACCTTCAAATAATTTCAATTCTTCAATTTTTTCTTTTTTCAATTTTTTATTTTTTTTTTCTTCTTTTTTTTTTCTCGCCTCTTCGTTATTGGGCACTCAGCCTGTTAAGAGGCGTAATCATAATAATAATATAGGATTATTTTTGAAGTATGTTTTACAATATTTTGTGGAAGGATAAATAAAGGTACGTGCCTTGTTGTGGTATCAATTAAATAAAATTTTAATGTAGCGAGCGTTCAAAAAATCTAAAATTGTACGATTTTAAAATGTCGATAGTTTTTTCAAATAGAACGCCCTGTATTCTATTACTGTATCTTACTGTAGAGGTAAAAAAATAGAATAAAATGCGGAAATAAAATATGGTGTGTTCTATTTGAAAAAACTGAATTATCGATATTTGAAAATTCTAATAATTAAAGATTTTTTATAAACACTCTGTATAGGTAAAATTTCATTTCAGTTATACCACAACAAAGCGCGTACTTTTATTTATTTCTCCACAAAATATTGTATCACAGATGTTAAAAATAAATATATTGGGTTTTTTGTGAACCCTTCCATTGCTAAAAAAATTAAAAAAAAAATGGAATAACGTGTCAATGTCGCATTGGTATTTCAAAATTAAACTATATATAGTTGTAAAAGTAAATTTGTAAATTTGTAAAAGTATATAGGAAGTTTCATTAAAAAAAGAACGAAAGTTATGTTAAAAACAAAACACTCTGCATAGTTAAAACTAATTTTAAAGTATAATCCTTAAAAAATCGTACAATTTTGGTTTCTGACTTTTTCTTCTGTTCAAGCAAATAAAGTTCATGCCCTAATTCACACATTTAGAGGTGGAATTTTCAAAAATTCTTTGTTATTGCTCAGCTAAGCCATAAAACAAATATATTGATGAATATTGAAAAATTATCAAATACGTGTTTCATTATTTATATACACGGTGAATCACTAAACGCCTTGTTCTCGATATCTCATTAATTATTAGTATTAGAAATAGAAGAAAAAGACAAGGACCAAACTTTGAGCGGTTCTTTAAGGACTGTATTTTAAAATTGTTTTTAACAATACAATTTTGATATACAGAGTGTTTTTATAAAAATCTAATTCTTAGAATTTTCAAATACAATCGGAATTTCGTTTTTTTCGAATAGAACGCCGTGTATTTTATTAATGTGTCTTATTCTATTTTTTGTGCTCATTCTTCTATAATGGCAATGTGTTCCTTAAAAATTCCAGCAACCATCAATTTTAAATATAGAAAATACTCAGATAAAAAAAGTGAACAAAAAATGGAATAATATGCAGTATTAATATGTTTTTTTTTTGAAAAATCTGGAATATCTATATTTGAAAATTTCAACAATTAAATCATTTTTATACACTCTGTATATGAAAATTGAATCCCACTTATACCACAACAAAATATTGTCAGATTTTAAAAATAACCCTACTGTGATTTTTTGTGTAAACCCTTCCATTGGTAAAAATTTTAAAAAAATTCGAATAATGTGGCAACCTCCCTTCGTAATTTCAAAAATAAATTGTAAAGATATTTAGGGTTTTTAAGGGTATTTAAAAAACTAAATTGTGTATTACGTCTTCAAAACATAACACTCTGTATAGTTAAAAATAATTTTGAAGCAAAAACTTGAAAAATTGGAAAACGAAATTATGAAAAATTAAAAAGCAAAAATTGGAAATTCGAAACAATGAAATTCGGATAACAATAAAAATTAAAAGTGAAATGGAGTAATTAAAAAAACGAAAATTTTAAAACACGAATTCTAAAATAGACAATTGAGAAATTTATTGCTTAAAAACGAACCGAATAATTGAGACATCCAAAAATTTTAAAAATGTAAAATTGGACAATCAAAAAGGTGTAAAATCGAAAAGTTGGAAATCGGATACTTACCTTTAAAAACGAGAAATTGCAAAATAATTAAATTGGAAAATCAAAAACTTGGAAAATTAAAACTAAAATTTTGAACAATCAAAAATGGAAAAATTATAAAATGACAAAATTTTAAAATTGGATAATTGTAAACTCCAAAATGTATTTAAACCGTAAAAATAAAAATTATGCAAAATTATTGAAATGAAAAATCGAAAAATTGTAAAAATGTAAAACTGAAAAATCAAAAAATTGCAAAATTACAAAACTGGAAAATTGTGTAATTTTAAAATTGGAAAATCAAACAGTAGTAAAATACAAAAATTACAAAACTGAAAAATCTAAAAGTTGTAAAATTATGAAATTGAAAAATCAAAAACTTGGAAAATTGGAAATCGAAATTTTGATACCTATATGAAAAATCAAAAAATTAGAAAATCGAAGCAATGAAATTCGGATAATTGAAAAATCAGAAATTGAAAAAAATTGGAATGCCCTAAAAACGAAAAATTGTAAACTAATTAAGCTGAAAAATCAAAAACTTGATAAATTAAAATTGAAATTTTGTAAAATTAAAAAATTGAAAAATTGAAGAATGATAAAATCGAGACATTACAAAATCGTAAAATAGAAAAACTAAGTTGTGCGTTACGCCTTAAAAGCAACACACTCTGTATAGTTAAAAAAAAAGAGTATAATTCTCAAAGAACTCTACAGATTTAGTCTTGGACTTTTTTTCTATTTCTAATAAATTAATGACATATCGAGGAACGCACTCTTAGTGACTCACCCTGTATATTGTAGAGTAATTGTACGTATCTGTACACCGTTTCAAGCTAATAATGTTCATCCACTAACTCGCACCCTTAGAGGTGAAATTTTCAAAATCCTTTGTTATTGCTCACCTAGGCCGTAAATCTAGTACAGTAATGTTCGGTCATAACGAACCTCATGGGACTGGGAAAAGTAGTTCGTTATACCCGAAGTTCGTTATAAATGATCTCAAAAAAATCAATATATACTTTGATAAACTGAACTATGTATTTCAGGATGCAACATTTAAAAGTATTACAAAAATATAAACATGTAAAGATAATAATACAGTAGTACATATAAGAAAAAAAAACTTGATTAATAAAAAGTTGATTAAAAATAAAAGTTGTTACTTAAAATAATCTCAAATTTTACGTTCCTTCTTGTGAGACAGATTAATTTAAGAGGGTTTTGGGATCGTTCCCTCTTTTTCTTCTTCTTCTTCGTTATCATCATCGTCTTCAGTCTCATCTTCTGTTTGAATGTTGCATTGAACTAATTCTACAATAGCAGCAGCATCCAAAATTTCAGACTTCACTAAAATATCGTCAAAATGGACAAAAAGTCGATATCAAATTCATCGTCAGAATTGCTTTCGTGCTTTCTCAGCCATTCAGCCAATAGTAGTTCGTCTTCTGGGGTGGGATTTTGTTTCTATAACGATAAAATATCGGTACCGATAAAATGTGGTCGTCTTTTTCTTTCGCATCTGAAATTTATATTTTCGTCCTTGTCATTTATCGCTACGTATCGTATCGTATCGGTAGAAACAAAATCCCACCCCTGGTTCAAATTTTTCCTCACACTGGAGGAACCCAGCATGTCGAAAACAATCAGCAATTGTTTGTTCTGATACTTTTTGCCATGCCATACTGATAAAATTGACGGGATGTAATAGATTCACACAAAAGTGTTCCTGACCATTGTCGAGATAAAGTTGACTGGTGAAAAAGTTCGTTATAAACGATTTTTTTTTCTTAAATATTAAAAATTTGGTTCGTTGTATCCGAAAAGTCGCTATAAGCGGGTTCGTTATAATCGGAAAAAAATAACACGTATCTTATGGTACTTCAGTTCGTACTTTGCAAGTTGGTTCGTTATATCAGGAAGTTCGCTTTAACTGGGTTCGCTATAAGTGATCATTACTGTATATCAAATTTACAAATATCAGACTAAATCGCTGGAAGTTAGTTTTTGGGACATCAAATAATACGTTTTCAAGTAACAAAACGCAAGACTATTGGGAAAATTTGTAGTTATATCTCAATGTTACAATTTTGGTTACCATTTTGAATTGTGGAATTGTTTTTGACAGCTGCAGAAATGCACAAATTTTGTATTTTTCATAAAACATGTTATAAGTCTACTAAATATTTAATCACAATTTTGATATCGAAGTAATAAGTGTGCGTGACCTATGCGTAATTTTTATACGTTCAGTTTTCTAGAAAGCATTTGAAATCAGCTTTCACATATATGGTGGGTATGGTAATCGACGCAACTTGTAAGTGTCATTTAAGGTTTTTGTCACCAGTTTTTATTTTTTATATGCATTACGTCTTCATAATATGCATACAACTGGTGTAGTTATATGTTGCGCTTTTTGGATGTAGATTATGTGTTCGGTTTGTTGGAGTTTTATAAGAAATCATTACGGATTAGCTTTATTTATGTTCTACGTTTTGTTCCAAACTCATAGTTCAAAAAGATGGCTCAACGAATTAAGTCACAGTCAGCCTGATGGATAAAGATTTATAATCACTGTACAGGGATTAGAGTGACGCATAAAAATGACATCGGATTCATTTGGAAGATGGATTTTTCACTTCTGACACATTGGATTGCATTTTTGCAAAACCAGTGACTAAAATTTAATTCAGTTAATCGAGTTTATCTAAATTGTTATTTCAAGGCCTTTTTGTCATTTCAGAATTTCAAGAAGCAAGAGGGTATCCGATAGAAAGGGAAAACTATGTGTCCGACATTATGTCAGAAATTCCAAGTACAAGCTGGCGGACGGAACCTCGAGTTCCACATTATTTTTCAAGATCGGATCGCTTTCGGACCAGAAACAAGCATTTATCACACTTACGTTTCGGTGAATATGGACAGTACAGTAGACATTCAAGACGGACAGTTTACAAACATTAATAACAAAATTCACGTCGGTACTGCCTTATAGCGATTTAAAGTTTTTTTTTTTACGTTTAATTGTAGAGAAACGGCGTTTTATATCTACTTACATGTTTATTTCTTGTCGGTTTATTTATTCAGTTGACGTTTTTCATTCTCTTTTGTTGTTTATTATTTAATAAATTGTATTGTGTGGAGTCACTTTTTATTGTTGTTTAGATAGTGTAAATAAAGGTGCATTCAAAAAATTTTTAACACTGAAGTCTATGATTTATATATTTTCCCACGGTCATAAGTCATATATCCATTATATACCCTTACTTTGTACGGAAATGTACAGGTTAAGAAAAGGATGGCTGTAGCAAGAATGTAGAATGTAGTTAGTGTGCAAGTTCCTAGATGTTTCTCATTTGCCTTCGATTTTTGAAAAAATTTTAGTCATTTTGTGCAGTTGTCAGAAGCGGTTGGCAAACTTGCAGGACCATGGGAAATGGTGGTTTTTGGGCAATTACTCAAGGCCAGGGATCAGGAATTTCGATACGATAAGGGTCGGCATCCAGCTTCCGTAACGGTAGATACTAATTAAGAACTAAAAAAGAGACTTTTACGGGAATACATTAAGTTAATCTCTGAGAAAACTAGGACGATTTATCGGTTTCAGATGTTGAGATATCTGGTGGAACAGTGATTTCAAACAACCTACCAATGTTGGGCACCGGCGCCTCTGGATTCTTATCTTGGCTCGTAAACTGCCTGCATTTACGGCCGACTATCACGATCGTTCCCAGAACCCCCACTAAAATTGTTTAAACAATAACGATGTTGTCGAGAAATGAACAATTATTAATGATTTCTCGAGATGTGTCGACTATGCGACTTGGCCAAGTCTAATCGATTTCTGTTGTATGTGAAACGACCCTCATAACTCTATTCTTTCGAATGGCGTTTCTTCGACGACAAAACGTTCGGATTAGTGAAGGTGCTATTGTTCTGCGTGACTAGCTATTAGTCGAGGATGTGACAGTATACAGGCGCCGCGGTCAACACTAACCAAGCCGCTCATTCTTTTCAGTTAGTTACCCCATTTGGCTTTGATGGTGCCAAATTATAACGCCAAAGGAGAAGATACCTATCACCTTCTCCTACCTTGTTAAACTAAAATGCTTAGGCCTGCTTTTAGATTTATATACGTTGCGTATCTACACAAGAGATCTTTCGATCCAGAACACGTAAAAAGTTCTCAGCAGAACGGAGCCCCTATAAAATTACGAACCGTAATTGAAGATGAAGAGTGACAACGCTCGAAACAGTTGTAGTTGTCGACAACTTAATTAATTCTAATTGCCTGTATATTCTAATATAACTATCTCATAACTTATGTTTACGACCGTCATGAATTAGGGGGTTCGAAATGTCCGACACGCTGTTTCGCCGGTACCATCCAGTTTATAACCATTTTTAATATCATTTTCGAACGACACACTTAGCTAGTCGTAAATTCTTATTGTCTATCTTGTCTAAGTGATTTTGACACCGATTTTTCGTTTTGTTGTTGTAGTGGAAGTAAAGTGGATCTGTGAGAACTAAAGTCTTAAATCCAATCTATTAGAATTGTAAAGTTTACATTTAAAATGTGTCAAGACCGCAATTAATTAAATTTAAAGAATTATTTTTTTACGTTCATAATTTTATTTATTGTATATGTATATGGCGCCACTACGAGGGTATTTTCTGTCTGACCTCTTTAAATTATAGGGAGTGGAAAAAAAATCAGGATTTACAAAAATTTTAAATGAAGTATCTTCGTCATGTTACGTAGTAGTTATTTAAACTTGATAAACAGACAGAGATTCTAAGTATGACATTTAATAATAAAATGAGAACTGTATGAGAAATGTATCTGGGAAAATAGGCTAGAACTATTCCAGTGGTACACAACCCGCAGCCTTTGGTCTCGTTTTTCGGTAAGTAACATTATTTCTGCCTTTCACCATTTATAACATAAATAACTAGTTATTATTGTTCAGTGGTTTATTCTTTCTTTTCTTTTTGTTTAGTACCCTTTGGTCTTAACGCTCACTAAAATTTGTCTAATCGCCCTCACCAGCACTGATGTCATCTCAAAATTTTCTATAGCAAATGTTTAAATTTTACAAATTACGTAGTCCTACAGTTGTGGTTTATGAATCCGTATTGATTTTTTACAACAGACCTCCAGATTTTTGTAAAAAGCAATTAAAATTGTGTAGCGATATCTTACAATGTAACTTTGAAATTGATAAACCGAATGTTCAGAAATCTTGGAAACATTTTAAGGTAGTCGTAAGCATGAGGTCATAAAATATGAGTCTGTATCAATACATCCATACTGTTTTGCAATTGTTATACAGATATTAGATACCTGAATTATGAAACCGCCTGTATTGGCTAGAGTTTTAACAAAAGAAAAACATCATCTTCATCACTTTAAAACGCAAACGTTTTATCAGCATGTATTACAAAAATTTTTTCTTTCGGGCGTCTCGCTACTTTTATGTTTTTTCGACGTTTCATGACCACTAGAATACGAAAACAGGTTTCTCATTTCTGTCTGTCGTCTGTCGACGTCTGTGTCGATTTTTATTAGAGAGATTATCTTTTAAAATGCTCTACCAATTGTTGTAAAAATTTGTATGTACATATATTACGAATATGTACATGGTAAAATGATAACCAAAATTCTTCTGATCATGCTCACCAAGGATGATATGACGTCATCTCCAACTTTTGCGATAACAAAGTGTTGAGTTTTTACCCTAGGCTTCCAGATTTTGTAAAGGAAAACTCATTTGAAACATCTGCGTAGCAGGCTTCTTTACATTTACTTTAACATTACATACATAAGTATCTTCATTTTAATTTATAGGGGTTCTCTTAAAAAATAAAATTCGCAAAATTAAATTTTCGAAATAATCTTCGACCATTTTTTAAGTAGAATAGGTCACTGTTAGCGTTCTTGCGGCATTTCTATAATATTATTGCGCTTTGTTTTTTCAAATATAGTGGAATCCAAAGAATTTCCAAGTTTTAAATGTATATGATGTAGGGAATTTTAACAATCGTAATAAGCAGTACATATTTACCACCAAAAAGCAAAAAAATATTTTACAAAAACCGTTTAAACTTCACTTTAACCCATTATCCACCCAAAAACCAAAACATTTTTTTTTTTTTTAAAGTTCATTTAATTATTTAACAATCGAAGACGTGCGTACTTCCGGCTCCGTGGACATGTTAAAACTGGTTTCAGTGCATTACACTCCCTCCCGACCCCCTCGGCAACCCATTTTCGCATTCGCGAATTCCAAGAACCGGGTCCCCTGAGAAATTAGCCAAGCTATTTTTTCCCAGAAATTAGCCAAGCGATTTTTTCCAAGAAATATCGATTTTTACTCCCGAGCGTAAGCTAAAATTAAAATTAAAATTGAAATTGCAAGTAAATTGTCAATCAAAATTTGTCCATCACCTTATAATTTTGTTCTTCAAATTTATAAGTGCTTTTGCGGACACAAACTGAGTGTGTTTCATTAATTAATCAATACTCTCCTCTATATTGAGAAGCCAAAATCAATCGAATTTCATTTTCTTTTAACCGTTGATGCTTATGCTAATAGCTGAATAGTTTACGTTTTATCATTTACGTGATTTTCTTAAAGTACTTCTAAAAGTAGAGAGAAGAGGTAGGAGATAGACGACAGACACTCGGAAAGGGGGATCTACTTTTTCGTCTTCTAGGAGCTATGAAATTTAAAAAAATATAAAACTAGCCAGATGTCAAATCAAGCCTATTACAGTACTTCTCTATGCAGGCCCGGCTTTCTTTGTAAAGTTGACTGGTTGCAAGACAAATTTTGGGGCCTTATTTTTTTAAGGTGGAAAATAATAAAGGGACGCTAATGTGCTCAGTGTATTTATATATTTATTAATTATTAATTCAATTTTATGGTTTTATGCTAATTTGACACTTTTTTTCAATTTTATTATTATTTGATCTTTCGAGGCCCCTATAAGAGGAGTGCTGTGGTTGACATAAAGCTTATACCGTCTTTAAGAACGGATACTACACCTGGCCGATTCATTAAAAAGTCCAGATAAATTTTCAGTCCTTTGACATCACATTTTTTCTTTTAGTCTTCTTGTTAGTTCATGTGTTTCTCTTTGATTTTCGATGTATTTCGTAATTCTCAAATTAAATAATACATCTAATAAAATTCTTATTTCATTTTATCCTGAACGTGCATTTGTCAGTTTAAATTTTGATGATATCCTGCGCACAGAAATGGCTCAATTTTATACATGACATACTCTGTGGGCATTTTGTTTCATTACGTAAATACAGGGTTGCTAAAAATATGAATGCAGTTGAATATCTCGGGAACGATTAGTTGGATCTTCATGAAATTTGGGCTATACTTAAAAATACTCAAGCTCTATTTTCTATATTTTTTTGAAAATTTAAACTTCATTTGTTTTCAAGGTGCAATTCTAACTTGATATATATATTTTTTTAATACCAGGACTTGTCAAATCATCAATTTTTGAATAGAAGAAGGTTTTTTGAATTCAGAACTGTAACACATGCGTACACTTTTTTAACTAAAGCGGCAAATAAAAAGATACATTGTTTATTGATGAGTCTACTTTTTATTTGAATGGGCATGTTAATCGTCGTAACTGTAAATACTGGTCCAGTACAAATCCACACTGGATGGAGGAGGTTCATACACAGTACCCCCAAAAAAAATAATGTTTGTTGCGGCATTATTGGTCGCCACATTGTAGGCCCCTTCTTCATTAACGGAAATTTAACGTCGAACAAATACCTCCAACTTTTACAACAAAGTATTATTTTTCGCCTTATTAGACAAATATTTCCCAACTATGAAAACCCAAATTTACCTACAGAAGTCCATTTGGTTCCTACAAGATGGAACACCACCTCACTTCGGACGTCAAGTGCGGCATTAGGTACTTAAACGAAACTTTCCTGCAAGGTGGAAAGAACCAAGGGGAGCACTTGAGTAGCCAGGTAGGTCACCCGATTTAACCCCACTTGACTTTTTTTCTGTGGGGTTATGTAAAAAATTGAATTTATGTTAACAGCCCACAAACCATCGAAGAACTCCAAGAAAGAATTATAAAAGTGATTGTTGATATTCCTCCCAATATTTTAGCAGATTCATTTTAAAATTTTGTGCAACGTATTTACTATTACTATGAAGTCAATCGAGAACATTTAGAACATTTGTTGAAAAATTATTGTTTTTTAAATGTTAATTTGATATTTTTTCAATAATGTAATTTTTTATTTAATTATTTCAAAAAGCTTAATAATGTATTCACTATTTACAATCATTAAATCGGAATATTGTTATTTCTAGAATATTTTGCAAATTATTTGGAAACACTTACTTAAGTTTATGTACCCTCAGTTCTGTCATAATTTGCAAAAATTGCAGAGAATAGAACAACTGCTTCCATTCTTTACAGCGACCTGTATATTACAGCATTCAACAATCTATATTTGTGGTTGCAGATGAGGCTGTAAATTCAGTAACTTTATGATATTCACCGATTTGAAGGATACTAAAAAGTGCTGTGTGACTGATGACTGTGGCAAAGTTACAACTGAAAGTACAGTCTACAAATAATAAAATAAGACATAAATTAGTTCAAATGTACTTCTTCTAGATTACATACTAAGGTAAACTGTCTTTTATTAATGATCAAACTTTCTCGATCACGTTCTCTATATAGTGCGACAGGGCCTGAAAATACTGTAATTCTCTGACATGCCACTCGTAAAGCAAAATGGCCACGTACAGGTTTCAAGACAGTCACCTTATTTCATTGTTTCGATCGCGTAGTAATTTCAGCGAACAGCTTTTTTAGGGGTAGCCAACACTTGTTCTGGAGTAGTAGATAGATTTATACCATCTCAGTGTGTTTGAATGATTGCCCCAAGTTATGATTGGCAGTTTATGGTTTTTCAATTTTATCACTTATATCTAAATTCAACGCTATTTTGCTGAGGCAATCATTTATACACCCTTGTGTTATAATAATTACAATTCGTTCTAGTGGTGTTACGCTGTCCGATGAGAAGCAGTTAAAACCAAACACATTTCAAATGTTAGGTTTTTTATGTGACCACAACACAAGAAACCGTACGTTTTTAAAGATTCATGGTTTGTCGTAGCCTTTATTTCTGGTAAGAATTACCATATTTAATCAGGGGCTACCACCGTTGTGGTCGCGGCTTTGTCGATCTGTACCGATACGAGGCTCGTAACTCAGGCATTAAACTCAAACATTTCGCTATTAAAACACAATGTATAGGAAAAAGTACAGATTTCCTAGCCTCCGTATGTGCATAACTCTTGATGCAGAAAGTACGTGCACGTATGCTATACTTTTGTGCAGAAATTTATTGCAGCCGCGTACGCGAATATAATTAATATTGTAGTAAGCTCAGGAGTGTCAGGGCCGGAGTTGTGCAGACTGCCGAGTTGAGATAACCCAAATGATTCATTTTCCTACAGTAATAATTACATTAAGTTGAGCCACATTTTAACAATGGGCATTGTTAATCTTTATTCATTATTATTGTAAGCAGGGGTAGGGCTGAGGAGTTTTGTTTAAGACAAGTCAGAACTGCCCAAAATGCGCAGGAGGAGGGTATTGTTAAGGACATGCAGGTCGCCCACCTGCATCACACTTTACGCGCCACTCGATTCATCAATTCTTCTTCCCCCATATTATATTCGGCGCCAACATTCAATTAACCACCTGCTTACTCTTTAAAGTGCTAATGCTAAGCGTAAATTAGTCAAAAAGATCCATAACTTATTAACCGGTCGACAAGATCCTGACAATTAATTTTCCTCGCAGATCATATCTTTCGCAGAAAATGTTGCCGAAAATTGGCCAACAAAGAGCGACTGGGGAGCCGAATTTTGCCCCATCACCTAACAGATGTTCATCGATGTTCAGTAGTTATTGGTATTTGTATCTGTGGATTTACATTAATATAAACAATATGTTTTGCGACATCGGCCGTGTTCATCATTTTTGGAAGATTAATTGATAGGAGTGATTAATGTTTCTGGTCTTGGTATCTACAGGTATGTGATCTTTCTTCGATGTCGCAATAGTTTCTTTGACCCAAGTGTCATGTTAACAAGTGAGGTGATGTTTTGGGGCGATTGGAATGCATCCAAACCGAGTTCCATACGAGAGAGGTGTAAAAAGCACCGACAGACTTGCTAACCAAAATGACCTTGACACGGGCTATGTTATATAATTACCTGCACTATTTGCACTTTGCACCCATCGTCGTCTCTTATTTACCGACCGTCGCAGAATATCTTCATTGGAATTCGTCGGAGGACGTACTCTCAATTGGGCTCATTGTGCGATCAATCGGTCCTTCCAGAAAACGTACAAACACTTTTCGTAATGTTTAAAAAGTATTTTTGCTTTGTGTGATAAAGATACCATTTAAAAATAATAATGATGAAATGTGCTCTTGTACAATTTTCGTCTTAGGAATGTGTACTATAGTGATTCATTTAGAAAGAATGTTAGTAAATAAGTGGAAGCACGTTTGAAATCAGTGCAATTACGGAACAATATGCACGTTTAAGTATTGATAAACTTAATTATCTTTGCACAACATACATACGAACCAGCTTTGCCTATTTGCCATATTTAGCCATAACTAATTACACATTACGTTAATCCTGCAAGTCGTGTTTGCTCCCTCCTGGATCTATGAAAGGCATTTCAGTGTCTTGGTTGTAAACAATAGCTGGATTTAACACAAATTGTAGTTTGTTGGTGTAATAAAATTTTCACATAAATTTTCCGTTATTTGATCCGTTGACTCTGTAATAGGTAAATAATAATAATAATGAAAATGTTATGTGGCTTAGTGGAAAAAAATTGTTTTCAATTAATGTAAGTTTATGGCCGTAAAATAGTTTATGACTTTATAACAATGTGTTGTCTACATCTACTGCCTTGATATGAAACACAACGCACAATTATCAGGAAAAATATTTTTAGTATACCCAGAAGTCATAATTTAAGGTATCTACACCTTTCAATCTGTTCAGTGTCACTCATGTTATCTACACATACATTTTCACTAGAACTTATAATAAAAAAAGATTGCTGTAAAAAAAATGTTGACGTCATGTCCTTAGAAACTTGTCAATCATGAAGGAATTATATGCCTCTGATTTTCATCTGCGACAGTGGGTAAATCACGATACCAAACTAAAGCTGCAAGACTTGGAAATGTATCTAGTATGTCTTAATTTTTTGAGATTCAGTAGGTAGTCTGCTACTTAATTTTATCACTGTCTTAATTTCTAATACGCAGCCTCTATACGCCTATCTCTTTTTTGAAGTTGTAAATTACGACGGAATCAAAATTAAGCATTTTAGGTAAAAACGGACAAGGTGGTGAGAAAGTACCCATAAATTATCACTTTTCGCATAATGTGGATAAAATAATGCTGGTTTAATCGTGTCAATTTACCTCATAAGTGACGAGTTGTCTCTGCCTAAACGTATTTCTGCGGAATTTGAAACAACCAAAATAAAGTATGGTCATGTTCAAGGTCAAAAACTTGGCTCTCAGTCGCATATTGCATAATTTCAACTAGTTGAAAATGAAAAGTTATATTTTACTTACGAAACTTTTCTGAGCTAAATTGAACTAAGGTAACGTTTTGCGTTTTAGTTAATTAGTTTTTCATTGAGAACGAACAGTATATAAAAAATTTGATTTTATTTGTGGATCGTATATTTTTGTACAAATATCTTGGTTTGCACAACTGCAGAAACTGATCAATAATAATATAAATTGCTTATATTTCAAAATAAAGTGTAAATAAAGATTGAGATCAGTAAATCTTTGATATTTTATTCTTTTTAAGTTGTTCTCTATACAAATAATTAACAATATGTACTCTTTGACGATTAAATCGCCAACATCTTCAATTACAATATATAGATATTTATCATGTTTATGTAATACACAGATTGTGAACCTTTGAAACGTGAGCAGATAGTGGATCTAGACTTTATAAGTAGGCATTGATATTCATCCTTTATTTTTGAAATCTATATCTGATGTTAATTATCAGTTATTTGAATTTTATTAAGTTGTATATTTTTTAACTGATTACTATCATGAAACGACAACTACAGGTGTCAAGAAGATAATAATTTTGAATAATTAGAAAAATGGATTTGAAGTGGACGCGGTTTCTATACATTTCAATAAAGTGTTGGTACAGAGTAGCAATAATTTTTGATGTCTCTGTAAAATTTTGTTTGTGATTTTTACTCATATTAATTAATTTTGTTTATTCTTAGTAAAAATTGGTGATCATGTTTCTGTTTTTTTTCTTTTTTATTTAGATGTCCAAGGTAAAAGAACAGGTGGATTCGTAAACTATAGATATAGAAATATGTTACTCCTATTTAATAAAATTTAAATAGCATTTACCATACATAGTTTTGCGATAATGCCAAAAAAATTGCTAGCGGAGACGATAAAATAATTTTTCTTTTTCTACACGCTATTTTTAAAATACATATAAAATTTAATAAAAATCAATCTAGAATCATTTTTTCTACTTAATAATAAACAATTGGACAATATTCTTGGATGTTTTCATATTTCTACTCTTGTCACAAGAATAAAAGATGAGAAAATCAAAATTTTTTTAATCATCGCTACCAACAATTTGATGACGTCCCCGCAAAATATTTTTGAGGAAAGACTATTCAGATTTTATAAAATAACATACTCCGGTGCTTTTGGTTTCTGATAAATTATTAATCTACTTTTTTCGTAGCTAAAATATCGATGACAGCATAACAAAATTTTGTTATAAAAAACTCACTTGAAACATACACATAACATGCATTCCTTACCTGTAGTTTAACAGTCCACACATACCTTTTATAATTTTTCGAAGAAGATGAATTTGTTCGGTTGTACTTCAGGGGCGAAGAAAGTTTTTTCTAATTAACTTTAGACTTTTAATGTATAGAGGTCATCAGAAATAAAATTTTGCAAAATCAAATTTTGTAGATTTTTAAAGAAGCGAGATTTGCTGGATTGTTCTTCAAGGGCGACGGAAGTTTGTTGAAGTAATCGGACGACTGGCTACTTTCATATTTTCTCGATGTATCATGACTCATGGCTCCTAGAGTACGAAAAAGTACGTCTCTCGTTTTCATCTGTCTGTCTGTTTGCCCACAGTCCGTGGCGATTTTTGTTAGACAGGTGATCCCCGAAACTATCGGACCAATTGTTTTTGTTTTTATGTTTATTATGAATAACATGTACATGGTAAAGCGCTGACCAAACTTTGTCTGATCATTCCCTCCAACAATGTGATGACTCACTCAAAATTATACACAGCAAATGGGTTTTAAATTTTATAAAATAACATACTTCTACACATGTTGTTTATAAATTCCTGTTGAGTTTTTACTAGAGGCGTACAAATTTTTTAAAAACAATCAAAATCGCATAACAACATGATCATGGAAAAATTTTAATCAAAATGTATGTGTTTATCTATCCCCACAAAAAAGTGATGACGTGATCTCAAAATTTTACCCAATAAATTGTATCTAAAATGTGGAAAATACAGTGCGTCTAAACTCGTAATTTATCATCGCATTCATATTTTTAGAATTACTTATCTAGGGTGACTGAAAAAAATTAATGAATGCACCAATTTATTTTATTTCCATTGCATGATGACGTCATCACAAAATTTTGTAAACGAGAAACTCATTTGAAACATACGCGTAGCGCGCTTCTTTAGAAATTTGTATAATTTTTCGAAAAAGTGTTTTATTGCACTTCAGCGTCGAGGGTAGTTTCGTGGAAATAAACTTCGACCAATTTTTTGTATCTTATCTTCTGTTATTGTCACTCCGCAATCAAAGTTATGGAAAGTCAACTTATGAAGATGATGGAGTAAGTTAAAATTTAGTAAGAATGTCCGTCATATATCCAGTCATAATTCTTTTTATTTCATTTTTCGTTGGACGTTGTATGGTAAATGCATAGTTGGTACAATGGATAACTGCTGTGTTTAGAATAAATATAATATCGTATTAAAAAAATTAGTCTAAGGTTTTTTCAGACACAACTTACCTCTCCCCTTAAATACAGTCAAGTGAGTTTTTCCATAACAAAATTTTATGATGGCCTCATTTTAGCAAGGACACGTATAACAATTTGAATAAATACTAGACAATACTGTATTCTCAAGTTCTTGGGAAAATGGGGTGAACCGTTCTTGATTTGATCAATAAAAAAATTGGAAATGCGACCTCTCGATCCACAACTCCATGAAGCACGTTTGTGGAATTTCTATTATGTATTCAAAGAGCACGAAGAATTAAACAATACAAATTATAATAATAACTAAGAAAATCAAGGGTGATTCATAAACCGCAAGTATTTTAGTATATTATTTTACAAAATTTAAATAACATTTACTGAGCAAGATGTTGTGACGTCATTAAATTGTTGGTGATGACGATTAGACAAATTTCGGTGGACATCTACACGATATTCCTCAAATTTGACAACAATCGGTCCGGTGATTTCGGAAATTAGGTGTCTAATATAAAACGACCTAGATCACAGGCGATGGAAACAGTAGACGTAATTTTTCATACTCTGGGGGTCATGAAACGTCGAGAAAATATGAAATTGGCCTTTCGTCGGATGGATTCTATTACAATACATCCTTAGTTTACGCTCCGAAAGTAAAAACAAAACAAAGTCGAATAATTTTCAATTAATGCTTTTCTCATTTTTCCATTTTCCTTCTTTCTTATTCATACGTTCATTATAACGAGTAAATAAGGAGACTTTATTTTTTTAATACTAAGTAAGGGTCGATTTCATAATGAAGTTAAAGGAGCTTTAAAATTAAAGTTGGATTTTTACCATGGAAATACACTGTTGAGGCAATGGTTTCAAGCTCTCATTAGTTAAAGGTCCTTTAAATTTTGATTATGAAACTAGCCCTTAGTTTTCATTTGTAAGTAAGGTATAGTAGACCGCAGCGATTTTTCCAATTTTCAAAGCTTATCTATTAGTTCTTCGGCTTTGTTTTCGAATTAAAAGAACAAATTAGTATAAAGCTCCTCTATTACTGATTTTCTAACTGATAGCTTTTCCATTGCGATGAAAGTGGAAGGTTTGTTTAGAAAGGTAAATTGATAAGTGGCACTTGACTTTTGATTCTAGATAAAAATCTAACAGTTGATATGACGCAACTAGATTTATACAACTCTTCTGGAGTTTAAACAAGGACAATTGAAAGCTCTACAACGATTTTTCTAATTTGTACTTCAAATGCAATATTCTTCACACATTTCCATCGTTAAAAATGTATTAAGTTATTTATAGAAATTATAACTTTCAGAATCAATTATTCACGCTTAAAGCTCACATGATGTGTCTTCAGAACGCCCACTATTTCAAGAAAGTAGGGCAACATATTATATTTATTGGTGCAAAGGTGTTTTCTATATCATTTTATACTTTAAATTTAGACAAAAATGCTAATGTAGAGGAGTTTGAAATGCCCTTTCATGTCGAGTTTGAACTTTACTTTGTCAGTACTTTTACTGAAATTTTGCTCTAGACACGCTTCTTTACATATACAGAATGGACACTTTTCTAAATAGCCGCAGGAAAATGTGCTATGTGTTGAAATATATATACTAAATAAAACTGTGTCTTTTTCCTGCAGTTTCCACTCTCCCTGACACACATTTTTGAGCCAACAATCCTTCCTGCTATTTTGTTTGTCCCTAATAAACATGAAGATTTCTAGATCTTTAACAGCAAATAACTAGTATCATAAATCGCTATTAGCCATTCGCAAGTAGGAAAAGGAAGAAAAGGCAAGAAATTGTAGCGTTAAACATCCGCCTCAGCAAAGACCAGTCTGCGTGCAACTCAGTCGCCGTCAGTATTCGTAGATTTCGAAGGGTGTCTTCTTCTCCCTGTTCTTGTGCCATCTACCAATCCTGCTCCACATTCAAAGCAACAGAAGCGGAAGCGATGAGGATGATGGGTTGCGTTAAAAGTTAGTTTGTGAAGTTTGGTGAGGACGTCCGTCGTAGGCGTAGTGGGGGCGAGATCGAAGGAAGGCATCGCGACGGCGACGTCGTCGGGTCAGTCAGTGTGCCGGCGCTTATCGACCCAGAAGGCCGACGCTGCTGCTGCATCGCAAGTTCGAACACGCGTTCGCGGCTCGGACCAATGCGGCCCTCATAGACACATGTACGAGACGGTCAGGTAAGCTGTAGATGTCCCTTATCATGTCGTTTATTTAACTCACGGATCGTCTTGCGAACACTCGCTACGGGAGTCGAAAGATCATTAAGTCTGTTTTGTAACCTCATGCAAATTGATGGCCGCGACTGAAATTTCAAGACACGATCTTCAGCTGGACAAGAAAAACGAGTCGATCGCCGAAACTGGAATTAGCACGATTCGCACTCGCAAAAATGCCAACTCCAAAAGCACGAAATGTGTCGAAACCGCCGCTCGAAAAATGCCACGGCTCTTGGTCATCGATGGTACACTTTTGAAACACCTGTGACATTTGGGAGCTTTGGTATTGATTGTATTGCGGTAGTTTATGACACTTGAAGATTTTGTACGCTGCAATACAACTGTTTTCTTGCTGTTTGGAATAGATGCGTTTTTCGGGCTGACGATAAATCACCGACAGGTTGATTTCAGGATTTATTTATGAGTACGGACCTGCCTCTAAGCACTAATTACGGATCACCTGTATGCAGTGGCGCCTGGGGGATTTTTATACATGATGCACAAGTAATTTTAGGTGTTTATTATTGACCGGCTATAATTTTCTTCACAATTATAAATGTCGTCAGAATCAAAGTGGTCACGTTTTTACTCTTTCCAACGGTCGCGAAAAAACTACTTCCTAAAAATCACCACCACCTTACATCATCTCAAGTCTGTTAACGGCACTGCATGCTGTATTATCCAATTATAAGGGAACAGAGTGTGGTATCTAACGTACACCGGTGACGTGTGGGGCAAGTCCTCAATAACCACTTCGTTCCTATAGTATTAAATAATATACTGTTGCAGATTAAACGTTAGCGGGGAAACCATACTGTAATCAACAAATACTGAAACTGATGCGAGAACAACTTTGTTAATTAAGATGTTAAGCTACCACATGTATCGTGGTTTGAACTTCCTCTCAGTGTGTACCTTATATCGAGTTGCTGTCGCTTCTTGATGATCATTTTTCAAAATTTCTTCTAAAGTATTAATTTTTTTATTTCTGTCTAAAATCGTAGTATTCTAACGATCTTAAGGCAAGTTGTGGCACAGATTTTATTGAATGTGTTGTGAAAACTATGACAGATTTCATTGTCAGTTTTAGGCTCTTTATTCTGGCATTCCCTTATTCTTGTGTTAAAACTTTCTTTTGCATTTATCCCTCGAAGCAGTCTAACATTTAGGCTAATTTTAATTTCTATAAGAAATTATCATTTTCGTCCACTAGTTTGTTTTGTTCAACTGATTATCGCTGACTTTCTCAGCCACAAAAATTTTCGAATATTTATTGACATTTCCAGTTGATTTTAATTCTTTCTTTCATCAAAGTGCAAATATGACAATTCAACCTAATCTTTTTTCAAAGTTTATACAGTGCTACAATCCTAAAAAATTAATATGCACATTAATTAACATTAATAAACTTATTTTTTGTCACTCACTACAAATACATATAGCTTCGTGTTAAAAAAAATCGTCTGAGGAAAACCTAATGAAAATATACATTCGCGTAATTGTGTACTCAAGTGTATCATCCAGTACTTGCAGATTATTTATAATCGCGAGGCAAATCGGAAAAAAAATTGATATGTACATATGTGATACATATTCACGCGCCACAGTTAATTTTTAAATTAAGGTGTGTCTATAAATTTTTATGGTGACAATTTTGATCCGTACGTGCAACACCAAACAAATTCTATCGTATTTCCAAGATTTCACGGGAATTAGTTGAATTTTTAAAATTCATTAAATTATTATTTATCGATTTTATAGGTATCTGATAGCATGGGTGTTACAATAAAAATTAATCTTCTTTTCGAAAAGGATACACAAAATAATTATGTAATGATTTCTAGTGGAAACTAGACTCTTTTAAAACTAAAAAACTGCTATAAGGTTATTTATACAGAACTTCCCTCGCCCCCAAAGTAAAATCGAACAAATACAACTTCTATGAAAACTTATAAAATTTCATTTTGCAATTTTTTATTTTTGATGATAATCCCTGTAAGTTAAAATCAAGATACCGTTCGCTATTAAAGTACAGGTAAAGAACCATGATATCCAGTGGGGTAAAATTATTCTTAGTACGTGCTTAACTTCGACTGTTTATGTTTATACTTCGAAAGAATTCGACTATTAATCACGTATAAATAACCAGCACAGCGGCGGCACATCAAAGTATGCACTTGTGTTAAAAAAAAAACAAATTTCATTAATGTTGTCTCTTCAAAAAAAAGGAGAGGACTAATTAGTTAATTAAGCTACAAAGAGATAATCATTATTTTATTATAAGTAAATGTAGGCAGTACTGTATTTTTACATTTTCTAGAAAATAATGTGAACCGTTCAGAGGATTTGAGATGCCTGCGAATCGAGTTGGTCCTTTCATTTGCAAACGGAGCGCTCCACGAGATCCGCTTGTCGAACTTTGTATTATGAATCTAATGAAGAGGAAAAATTAAACAACAAAAAATATAATAAACAAAATCAAGGTGGATTCATAAATCATAAGTATAGGAGTACATTATTTTATGAAATTTAAATATTATTTACTGTGCAAAATGTTGAGCCGATGTCATAAGATTCTTGGTAGGGATGAGCGGACAAATTTTAGTTAGCGTTTTATCATCTACATGATGTTCTAATGAACTTACATATAAAATTTGACAATGATCGGTTCGAAAGTTTCGAAGATTATTATCGATAAACTACAAATATATACACGGAAACTGCAGAGAAAAAAAAGTAGCAGTAGTTATATAGTGGGGCTCCCAGCTCAGTTTGACCTCATTTGACCTGAGCCCCACTATTTTATATCGAACGTTTGTCATCGCCTTGTGCTTGGTCGACCTGCCCCAAGGACGGTCCTGCTTTGCGCGAGTTCTATCCCGACTATTACCTCATATAGCTTAGTTGCTTAGTAGGAAAGTACAAATTTATAAATATAGCAATTAAGTGTAGTTAAGTTGGTGGAGTGGTCTAAGGCGTTAGATTTAAGCTCCATTCTCGAAAGGGAGTGCGGGTTCGAATCCCATACCTGGCAATTTTTAGCATTTAAATAAAGCACATTTTAATGTTATGTTATTTATTCAGGAAATATAGACTACAGCCAATTCGAAATATTTTTAGCATTCTATAATGAACGGAAACATTTTTTATTATTAGATACATATATGAATGTATGATTATTACATGCTGGAACTTCTTTGGTCAATTTCAAACAATCTTCTATGGCTTTCAGATTCACAATTTTGGGACATAATTTTCTTTATTTCTTCTTTTCACATATACAACCTCCAACCTCATGGTCCTTAATGTATTCGATCAAAATTTGTTTTACAGTATGATTTAAATAACAAAAAATCCAGTGCATCGGTTATTTGTTGAGAATATTTTGATTTTACTTACAAATTTTGAAAAACAGTCAATAATCGCCCGGTGGACCTATTGCAGTTCTTCCTTAGTTTACGCTCGAGAAGTAAAAATGCAAAAAGTTTTGCACAATCAACATGATTCTTAAAAAGTGAAGAAGAATATGTATATCAGTTTCTGTTTGTCTATATTACTAATTCATAAATTATTAATCGGGAACCTTGTTTACAAATTTACAATTTTAATTTTTTTTAATAGTCCCGTAAATATATTGTGAAAAACACATTTCAGGCTGCAATTTTCAGTACAGATTTAAAAGTTTTCTTGTGAAATAAATATTTCGTAAACTTTGTTGTTAAAAGCTCCTTAAAAAAAACGCAGAAGCAATGTTACATTGCTTTAGTTAAATTTAAATTATCTAAACACGTTTATGTGGTTGTTCTTGTGCTAAAATTTATAGTCTATGTACTAATAAAATATAAATCAGAAAATTTACACTGGATACTCAGTTCTTGAAACAGGTACGACACATTTTTTTGGCCAGTTGGATCATGTCTGTTAACATTAGTATTGAAGTTCTAGTCGCTGTTTTAAGTACGAAGTACTGATAAGAGAAAATTATTTTCTAGTAGAAATGCTATTTAAAGAAATAACATACTTAATATGAATTTACTTTGATAATTTCCTTGAAATTTTCTCCCCTTAATAAAGTGAAATTAATAACGCCATCACAGAATTTAAATTTTATAAAATAACATATTGCTGCACTTGTGGGTTATGAATCAGGGTTCAGTTTTTACCCTAGACATCCAGATTTTTGGAAAAAATTACAATTTAATTTTAAATTCCAAAATCGAATGCTCTGGAAGCTTGCAAACGTTTTAAGCTGATCAGAAATATGGTAAATTGTAACGAAACTTTGTCTCCTCCCTCCCATCAAATTGATGACCCCATCGCCAAATTTTCTCCGATACACCTCATCTAAAATGTGCAAAACATTTTGATTCTATTGTTGCGGTTTATCAATCCATTCATATTTTTTTTATTTTATAGAAGTCATAACAAAAAAAATCGTGAAATCAAATTTTATAATTTTTCGAAGAATTTTGATTTGTTGGACTGTACTTCAGAGGTAGGGGAAGTTTTGTCGAAATAACTGTCGATCAGTTTTTTAACTGACAGTCAGTTTCGTGATTCTGATGGGATAATGCTGCACAAATTAATATTTGTCAATCAATTGCATTAATTTATAACAAAGCTTTTTAAAGCAGTGATGATTGTAACAAAAACAACTAGTCTATGCTCATTGTATTAATTTCAACAACGCATTGTATTTGGAGACGCCGAATGTACGTCAATACATACTTTTTTTAATTGTCAAAATTTGATACGTATAATAACTATCTGCACCTGCTTAGAAGGAAATTATTATATGATTAAATGGAGTCTTGAGATGGCCTCTTGCCACTAAATTAGGGATGAACCTAGCACCGACACACGATTTCGCTTCCGAAGATGACTCGATCACAATCCTTTTGATTGTACAATATTTGTAAACATTGATCAAAAACGAACTATTATAAATTAATACACTTTTT